AACTGTGTTTACTGAACCAGATTTTCCCAGGATCCTAGGGTTCCCTTGGCTATCCAAGGCATATTCCTTCCTGATCACCATCCTGTTGTCCTGGAAGAATGAATGTGATTCTAGAATGGGTAAGCCATCAATGGGGATTAGTTTTAAAGTGCTGAAGACTATGATTTATTGCTTCACATACTATTTTTCTGTTGCACGATGAAGTTTTATTAATGCAAACTAGTTTGTTCAGACTGGAAACTGAGTCTGAAGATTCCTGGGTTCAGGTGGAAAATGGTTCCGGACTCAGACAATGTTTGACATTTCAGCCTGCCCTTCTCCAGTCAGCCACACAACAAATGCACTGATAGCCACTTTTTCTGATCCTGTGGTGTAGCAGTTAAAAACTCAGGCATTGGCCGAGCCTGCCTGAGTCCAAATTCTGGGTCTGCCACCTGCTACCTGTGGGACTGGGTAGGACTCTTAGACTCTGTACTTTGACTTTCCATATGTAAAATAAGAATGATGGTGAGGGCTTTGCAAGTTTCTTGTCGAAGGCTAAGGTGATTAAATATTACCTAACACTGGGCAGCCTCTCACTAAAGTCTTCATTATCTCACTAAGGTTATGATTATCATTGGCTCATCCCACAGAAGAGCATTCTGACATCATTGATAGTTTTTGCTCCTAAGCACACTCCTGCCTTGACTGAGGGCTCCCCCACCCCAGCTATTATCTTATTGAAGGTGGCTCCCCACTTTTAGATGTGTCCCCTGGCCTCCTGGCTTCTTTAGTTAATGTTTCCTTCATCTGCCCTTCCACCGAGACTGGCTTGCATTCTGCTTCTCCCCCAGAGCCTTCTGCATTGACTTGCTCAATAGTCATCATTGAAAGAATAAGAGCTATGATCTCCTTTTTAGAGATCAAGATATAGACATCTCCCTTTTTCTGTGTGATTTCTTTTTTCCAATTGTTGATCTCCTCATTCCTACTGCATGAATTGGGAAGCAAAGACAAAGCTAAATTGTTTGCTATGATAACTTCAGGTGGCTACCTTGTGTCTTTTGGGTGCAGCAGGTTCACTCACAAGGTGCACAAAGTTTTGTGTGACAGCCTGTGCAGGCAAACCCTCCCTGCCAAACACCAAGCTGGCCAGGGCATTGGACTCCATAGTACACAGTGGCCCGGCAGCACCATCTGGTGGGTGTCGCCTGCTGTCTGCAAAGCCGTTCTGCTGTGCCTGACATGCAGGTTTGTGAAATGCAGCCCAAATTACATTTTAGATAATCATGAAATGATCAGCTAGACTTATGAATAATTTATCTCTGGATTTACATAGGCCAAATGTCTTTTTCCTGCTTCAGATTTCTTTGTATTGGGAAACAACTGCTATATTTTTAAGAGGAACTTTAGAATGACTAATTCTGTATTTTACATGCATTCGTGAAAAATAAAAATATGTACTCTGGGTGGTGCATCAGAGGATTCAGCTTTTTTTTTTTTTTGAGGGGTTGAGGGTCTTTTTTGCATAGTTTTTTTAACAAAAGCATTGTGAAGTCTTGCTCTTCAGAATGTGCTCCCTGCACCAGCAGCATTCACATCACCCAGTAGCTTGTAAGAAACATAAACTCTCTCTCTCTCAGTTCCAGCTCTAAATTGGCTCAATCAGAGCTAATGACTGCTTTGCACTTGGGTTTGAGATGCACAGGTGACAGAAGTCAAACGGGAGACCTGTGTTCTTGCCTCAGCATCGCCTTCTCCTTCCAGGTCCAGTCTCTACCCAGATGGCCACATCTTCTCAGCCTTGGTGGCTCAATTGTCCAGAGATTAGGAGATGGTGGCTCCTGTCTTGTCTGATGCTGGAGCTGTTGAAAACAACTGAACTCATACATAGGAGTTTTTTTCCAACATTGTAAAAGCCTTTGCAACTGTAAGGAAAACGGGGAGGAAAATCTTCACATTTCATCCTCAGCTATCAGAGAATTGGCTCTTTATCAATGATAGCAGTAGCAGAGCCAATATTCAACTGTCTGTAATCACTCATCATCCTTTGAATAGTGTCTGGGAAGACTGTACCAACTCTTCCAAAGACCCCACTCAGGCAGTCTTCCAAGAGCTCAAAATAATAGAATTACAATCTATTTTTCTTAATGAGGCCTTTCACACTTGCCATCCTGGGACTCCAGAAGCATCCCCCATTGAGCCCAGTATAGGGCACAGCAGGTGCTCAATGGTGCTTGTAGATAAATCCACTAATTAGCCCTCAGCAAGGCCTGAACGGTAGTCTCATGTCCTTCACACTAATCATGCCGTTTATGATAATCAGATTATTTGCATTGTTAGAGACTTATATATATCAAATATTCATTAAGGAAATAGACTCCCAATGGCTGAGAAATCCTTTGGTAGTGCATAAAGATCCAAGTAGGTGAGATCGTTAACTGTTTACAAACACCATGTTCTTCACCTTTAAATTTCCATGAAATGAATAGGGGATGGAACAAAGGAAAAAGAAAATCAGCATTTTTCTTTATACCAGAGCTGAATCCAGGTCCAAGTACTTCCCTAGAAGCTCTACCACTTGACATAGAGGAGACAAAAAAAAAAAAAAGATTGATAAGAGATATTAACATTTGTGTTGCCCTTGGGCTCCAGTGTCTCCTGTTCCCCAAGAAATGATACTATTGTCAAACAGTGAAAGTGGAATATTAAGAATAGTTTATTATTCAGTTTGTCATGAAATTGATGCAAAAATATTCAATTCAAATTACATTGTCTATGATTTGTGAAATTATAGATGCTTTGCTCCTAATTAACTGAAGATAGTAACATTATACTGTTTTCTTTTTACCTGATTCATTGCCATTAGCAATGTTCCCTCCAACCATTTAAAAGAGTTTAGAATGTCAGTTGTTCAAAATTACTTTCGTTAAAGTTAAAATGTACTTACAGTAACTTATAATGTAAAAAATCAGCAAAGTGATAATATAATTGTTATAATAAAATGAGTTATAATAATTATAACAAGTTTATGTGGGGGAAATAAACACTCATGCCTGCACCTATAAAGATAACAGTCTATCAGAGTATGATCCTTGAATGCAGGACTTTGTAGCATTCAGTTCATCTCTGAATACCTAACAGTTCCAGTCTGCTGTCCGGAGATGGTTTATAAGAATACCTTTCATTCAAGAATGCAAGAGCCACACTCCACCTTTTCATTCTTTTTTTTCCCCAAACATTTTACCTTGAAAATTTTCAAATCAAGAGAAAAATTTTCATAATAAAACAAAGTACACTATACACATCTAACATCACTATTCTAATATATTTACATTTATTTTTTCTCTTTCTCCCTGACCCCAAGGACAAGGACTTACATGACAAGCAGTAAGTTGATCAAATTCAGGAACATTTGACATTGGTATAATGCTCTCAATTAGTGCACAGTCCTGATTTAATTCTGTCAGTTGTCACAGTAAAGCATTCCCACCTTGACCCCAGGTCTAATCCAGGTTCTTCTGTTGCATTTGGCTGTTGTCCCTTTGGTGTCCTTTAAACTGGAACAGTTCCTCAGTTTTTCTTTGTCTTTCAAGACATTAACATTTTTGAAGAATACAGGTCAATGCTGCCTCACAATTAGATTATGCATTTTGGGTATGAATACTAAGGAAGTGATGTTACATTACAGACAGTACGTTAGTAGGAATGTGATGTTGGTTTGTCCCATCGTTGACAATTTTTGTAACTTTGATCCCATGGATAGGGCCCCAGATTCTCTCTTTGTAATTAATGAGTCATCTCTACAGAGTACTCTGAGACCGTCAATTCTGTCCCCAATGCATTTACCTAGCCATTTTAGCATCCCCTCATGATCCCTGCCTGAATCAGTTACTACTTATTCTGCTGAAAATTGTGACTTTCCACTCACTTATTCCTTTGCATTTGCTAGTTGGAAATCTATTGTAAAGAATAGTTTTATCTTGATGTAGGCATGTATGTATGCATCTATATATCTATCTTCTATCTGTCTACTTACCTATCTACCTATTTATCCTTGTGAGTATCAATAAGGGCTTGCAGGGTCTTTTTCCTCAGTTGGTTATTGCTCATTATTCTCGATCATTTTGATACTTATATTGTCCTAACTCTGCCTGCTTCAATCTCATCCCTGTGTTTTTTTGACATGAACCCATCAGTTTGTGAGTATTATTTATTCTTTATCCCCTAGCATATCTATATGGTATAGAACTAGATATAGGTACTGGTACCTTTGGCATATCTTCATTCAAATTTCCACCCAAAGGAGAGATTTTATTCTTGTAATAAATATGTTTTTGAGTTACTGCTATGTCCAGTTAGTGATCTTACTGATGGTCCAGTGGACATCCAGACAATTAAATTGGCCTTTTCAGTGTAGCATGATAAATTATGATAACAGTGAGTTAGTTGTGTGTTCCATAGAAGCCTAAAGGAAAAATTCCTGACCCTATTGGTCAATTAAAAAAGACTCCAGGGAGAATGTATAGTACCTCCTATAGAAAAATGAATTGAAATTCATTTGGGGAGGCAGCATAGTGTTCTAGGCTGGGTAAGCACATATCTTTCTAGAGAACTGAGAAAATTTGTCAAGTCTAAGATAGTGAGAGCGAATGTGTGTGCACATGTGTATGTGTGTGTTGGAAACCATGAGGAGAGATGAGGCTGGAGAAGGCTGAGCCTTGTAAGCTCTGTTAAAGACCCTCACTAATTGCTGTTCCAAGAGTAGCAGTTTTCAACCCTGGCTGCACATTCACATCCTCTTGGGGGTAGGGGTGGACCTGTGAGAAATACTAACAACAGGGCCCCATCCCAAACCACTTAAGCTAGGATTTCTGGGAATGGGGGTAGGGATGCTCTAGGGTCCACTCATTTCAATTTCTGTACCTAGCTTCTGGAAATTTGTCATGCACAAGAGCGTCACATGACACAGAGATAAATGCTTGAAAGTAAAATTTAAAAAGACTCATTTTATTTTATAGGATTTTGAACTCAACAATGAACTAAAGATGAATGTCCTAAACTTGCTAGAGGAAGTTTTGCGAGACCCTGATCTTCTTCCCCAAGAAAGGAAAGCCACAGCGAATATCCTGAGGTAAAGGCAATTGCAGGTGTTGATTGAGTTATGTTGGCTGATTTGTGCTCTGTTCATAGAAAATAAGATCCTATCAAAACCAGAAGGATAAATCTTAGAATCCTGGGGGCACAGGGATGGTGTTCTCACCAGTGAAATATTATTTATCATCTTCTCTTTCTTGGGGGCAATTCGGGGTCTGTTGTCTCAAGGAGACTTTTGATTGGGCGGCATAGCTCCTGTGGAGTGCAGCTGCTCCTTTTTGTGTGCATGGATGGTTTCTGTAGAATCAGGTGTCTAAGAGAGGAAGCCCCGAGGACCCTTCCTGTGAGTCTAGCAGGCAATGCAGGGTTCTTTTTCTTCCTGTGGGTTCTAAGTGTTTACCATTAGTCCCCATTTTGGGGCAGGGTAGTAGTGTTTCTGTGGGAGTCTTGGAGCAGTTATGTACTTTCCTCAGCCTGTTCCACTGCTCCTAGGCCAATTTATTTGTCAACTTTTTTGCTTAGGTTTTCTACATCAGGTAAGTTAGCATGGGATTTTAAAAAACATGACCTCACATGTCTATGTGATCAGGCTGGGACTTGGAGTATTCCACTAGAGACTTGTATGTGTCCATAGTTGTAATGCCCAGCATTTAAACGGCTAACAAGCTCTATAGCTTCTTGAACTTGTGGGTGGGTTTTTTTCCTAGTCCACTCTACATGAAGAGGGCAGCCATCTGTGACTTCATGCAAACATTTCGGTTATAGCTTCACAGCTTACCCATGACTCTATCTGCAGTCCCACTTGAGAATGGGAAGCCTGCCATGTATCCTCTAGGGCCTGCTACTCCTTTACTGTTCTGGTTTCTAGTTCCCTCTTTACTTACAGTCCTAGAAATGATCTTTTCTTTCTTCCAAGCTTGGGTACATTGTGTCTGTGTAACATGTTATCCAGAAAATATGTGGGTAGAAGGGAGTCTGTTTCAGTTCAGTCCACCATGTTTGTGGAAGGTCCTCCCTGATGCAGCAGTACCAGATCTTGGTTTGTGATGTTTTAACAACTGGCCCATAAGTCATTGTAAACCCCCAGTAGCTGAAGATACCATAGCCAAACCATTCTTTGGTATAGAGCCCATTGTGGGTTGGATTATTATTTTCCCCCCACCCAAGAAAAAGATATTTTGAAATCCTAACCTCCAATACCTCAAAATGGGCCTTATTTGGAAATAAGACTGTTGCAAATATAATCTGCTAAATTGAGGTCATACTGAATTGAGTAGGCCCCTAATCTAATGTGACCTATGTTCTTATAAGAAGATAGCTATAGAAGATAGAGACAGAAAGGGTCATATAGAGATGGAGGCAGACATTGGAGTTATACAGCTGCAAGCCAAGAAGCACCAAAGATTCTGGCAATCTAGGACCATCCAAAGCTAGGAAAAGGCAAGGAAGGAATCCCCTGTTGGCTTCAAAGGCAGCAGGCTCCTGCTGACACCTTGATCTCAATTTCTGTTCCAGAGCTATAAGACAATCCTGTGCATTTCTGTTGTTTTATTTTGTTAAGGCAATCCTAGGAAACTCTGAGGAAACTTTCCCGCTTTTTTCCATTCTGTGAAAGCATCTAAGAAAGCTTAGGGATTTTACCTGGATCTATTTTCAATTTTTAAAGGTATAAATATTCAGGTAAAGCCTGGTTTCAGTGAATGAGTAACTATGTCTGACAGTGATCACTTTTTCTGTTTTCTTCATGTAAACAGTTTATTATGCAATTTATATTTAAAATATTGATATTTTGAAACTATGTTTTGCAAGTTTATACCCCTTAAGGACATTTGATGAATATCTGTCAGGGAAATGAGAGTGTTCTGATGGGAAAAACCTATCAGGATTGGCCAGCATGAAGCTCCCATCTCTGTTTCCAAACCTTTGACACCTCTGCCAGGCATCACTAATGAATCCTGAGCAGGCTCTGTCTGCATTAGGAGGTGACTTCAGAAACCACTTAACTGGAGTTAGTACTTAAGATGAATCCTATTTACCATCTCAGGTCTTTATTTTTCAGAGGCCTCAGATATCCCAGTTCTCTTTGCCAAGAACTAGGAATGTAAGACAGAAAGAGAACAGACATTTAGTAGACATACAGTCTAGGAGTACGACATGGAGCACAGCCTGATTTGAACTTTTGCAGGATGTCATAGGGGTTAACCATGTGGAAATGTTAAGTTTCTTAACCCACCTGAACATCAGCTTCCTCATTTATAAAATGGGGTAGGTAATACATACTTCATTGGGTTGTTGTAACAACTACATGATATAACATGGTATAAAGATATGTTAACACAATGCCTAAAATGTAGTTCACACTCACAGTAGACTTGTTACTGTTATTTTAGAAGCACTGAGAGCTCTTAGATGAAATAGCTTCTGCCATCAAGGCGATACGGCCCAATTGACACCTGGCTGGATCTTCATTGGACTGAATCTCCTTAAGCTTCATCACCTTGTCTATACAAAGAGAGTACAGACCAGTATCAGGGCAGAGGACAGTGACTCTTGGCTCTGTTTTTAGACTAATAATTTCTATAGTTAAAGGAGGAATTTTCCATTCATAAAACTTAGGCAATTCCATATCCTTCTAAGCCTATTTAGTGTTTCATATTAAATTCACAATTATTAAGCTGATTATTCTGCTGACCAATGTGGATAAATACACCAGAATCCTGGTATGTTTATCAAAACCTATTGGTAGTCAGATGTGAGGAAAATTTTTCCTATATGGGGACTGGACCAGAGGTCAGTGAGCTCCATATCTGAAGGGGAACAATTCTGCACACACCACAACAAATGCAGGTTATGCCTCTGAGAAACAAAACATAGCATATTCTAGTTCAATGGAGCCCAGATATTAGAGATTTGTATGCATTCCAGTCATGTAACAGTGAGATATTAACATAAAACATATATTTAAATGTATATTTCATTACCACATTAAAGCAAAGGCTCTCTCTGATGAGCCCCCTGACTGCCTCTCAGGGATTATTTAATGATGAATACACACGATTACTATATGAATCAGTTACCCTGTTTGTGAATAAAAACCTCTGTTCAAGACTTTTGCATTTCTAAAATACCACCGATCCAAAATTGTCCAAATTTTTTTATAGTCTTCAAAATCTACCCAGTGTAGAGATTTTAGCAGACACTTAACACGCCACAAGATGAAAAGAAATGGTGATTAACTTTCTGGAAGGTCAACTGTGATGGACTCAGATCATAAAATGATCATCCCCAAACTTCAAATGTTAAATGTCAATGTAACATGTGAAATGTCCAATAACAATGAAACCAGAGTGCATCATGGAATATTAGGGTCAGATTATTGAGAAGAGGAACATTTGATAGGAGAGTTATGTAACTTTGGTTTTTGGTTTTTGGTTTTTTTTTTTTACCATTTCTTTCCAAGAGAAAGATACTGCCCAGTTTCATGAAAATGTCTCTCCCATTGTCACTTATAGTTCTGGGGCCACAGACCTCCCTTCAGGAACCTGTGTCATAGTGGAAAGAATGATGAGCACATTGGGAAAGAGTCACATTTCTCTGTCTACTGTGTATAACCTTTAAATGTGACTGAACAGTCTTTGGAGAAAGAATCATCTTTCACTAATTTTCCTTAATCTACCCTTTACCATAAGATGACTCTATTTTTTGTTCATAAGTGATCTGACTCATTGCTAACAAGAGGACTACCACAAGTATAATCTAGAAGGATCCTGTGTGAGAGCTTTAGAAAGAGGGAAAGAAGATAGAGGGAAGGAGCTGGCGTTTATCGGCTATGTGCTCTATGAGGGACCTTGAAGAAGGACCTCCATAGCCATAAGGGGCATTAGATAACAGGGAGAGCTCATTTGGACCTGCACCCAGGGTAAATTAGTCAAGTGCTTGGGTGTGCTTGACATGAGGTGGGCATATAGTAAACTGTCTCTGTTGGCTTGGTATTTTTGAGGATCATGGTCCTTGTTTCCACCAACTGTGAACACAACAGAACACCACATCATTACGTCTTTTAAAACTGGGGGGTAGAGGGAGGGGGCGGGGTGGGTGGTAAGGAAGGGAGTAGGCGGAGGGAGGAGAAATGACCCAAGCATTGTATGCACATATGAATAATAATAATAAAAAAACTGGCTTCCTCCAAAGAAGCCATAAGCCAAGGAACACAGGCAGTCTCTGGAAGCTGGATTCTTCTCTATGGCCTTCAGGAGGAATGCAGCTTGGTGACCCATCTTAGACTTCTGATCTCCAGAACTGTAAAGTAGCAAATTTCTGTGGTTTTGGCAACACCCCCCCCAAAAAAAATTACCCTGGTTTCCTCCAGCACACAGGCTCCATAGATTGTTTAAATATTGTAATGCTTTAAATATGTGCTTGTAACTTCATTTTGGAAAACTTAAAATGCTCAGCCAGATAGCGTGTTATATAATTGGATGCCCACTCAGTATAATTCTCTTAGACTAAGAATTTCTTGTTGGACATAAAATATCCTCCCACTTAGAAGCTGGTATTTTGGGTATTAATTAATTTATGTATTATTTATTTATCCATTCTTTACTTATCAAAAAAGATACTTTTGAGAGATGAATAATGCCAGTATGGGATATACACCTGGAAAGAAAGAGGAAGAACTTTCTACTTGCTTCTGTCCCAAGGGAACTCCTATGCTCCTGGTCTACATGAATGGCAAAGAGGGTGTTTCTGCATCTCCTACCCCAGCATCAGCAGGGAAAGCTGGTTAGGGGTTGGAGGAACAAGAATGGGGCACTAGGCCTATTATAGCTCATGTTGTTACTAGAGAATGCCTGAATCCATGTTTTTGGTCATCTGGGGAGCCGCACCCCAACTGTTCAGACTCACTGAGATAGTAGTTATTTTTACTTACAACATTGTCTTGTTGTATGACAAACTGGCTCCTTGCTCTGAATCAGTGCTCCTGCTGATTCTCTTGTACATTTCACGTGTCATTTTTCTGTTTCCATATCTTTGTCTCCAACCCAGTAGCCTGTTGTACCACCCAGCCTCTCAGACCTGAACCAGTTCAGGGAAAGCCAAACTGAATATTGTAGTTTCATACCTAGTATGTCTATTTTCTTCATTGAGAATATTTTTATTTTTTAGGGCCCTTTCACAAGAGGATCAAGATGACATCCACTTAAAATTAGAAGACATAATTCAAATGGTAAGTTCAGCCACAGTTTTGTCCAACAGTTATAGGCACAGTTGTAGACACACTCAAAGGTAAGCAAGATGCCTGTAACTGATTATGCAGTGACTAATTGTATGTCTATCTGTGAAGCTCTGTGAGATGAACCACATTCAGCATGGGTTGAGTAAAATTAAATTGGTGATATTAATGGTGGCTTTGACATTTTTTAACTTTCTACATTTTCTTACATAGATAGAATCTAGTGATCGACTTCATACTTCCACAGAAAGTTCTACAGTGAGATGGTGGCTGCCCTGCTCCTTGCTGTGTTTCACCTCGTCCCTCATCTCTTACAGACTGACTGTTTAAAGGCCGAGTGCTTTGAGACCTTGTCGGCCATGGAGCTGGCTGAGCAGATCACCCTCCTGGACCACATCGTTTTCAGGAGCATTCCCTATGAGTGAGTGACACCCCTCTACCCCAGCAGCAGGGCTCATCTATAGTAGCTGGCCTAGAAGCTGCCAATATTCCTAAGGCAGGTGTGTGTGTGTGTGTGTGTGTGTGTGTGTACACGTGTGCACGCACTGAGAGGTGTGAGTCTTAGTCTCGAGATGGTTTGGCCTCGCTTGAATGTCTCTTCATTCCACTTTGTGTTTGGAGACTCTCAAGATGGTCACTTTGTGTTTCACTATGTACTAAGGGTTACCATAGAATTGAATTTCTCCAAACTCTTCTATCCTTGAATTAAAGAAACCTCAGTATGGCTACAAGAGTGGTTCTCAAACTTTGAGTCTAAAGCCATTTGGGAAGTTTTTAAAAAATGCATACTTCTAGATATCCCCTCAGAAATTCTGCTTCTAGTGTGTTTGCTTGAGGCTCCAAGAAACTGTCTTTTGAATGAAAACCCGAGATAATTCTGGGTGATCCAAGACTATGCTTAGTGATCTAGGGTAAGTGCTCTGAATTCTGCTATAGGTCTTACCCACTTCTAAGTCAACAGGTATCCCTGAGCTTTGTGGCTGTGGACTGGTCACCCAGCCTTTTGTTTTCTTTCTGGGTAGTATAGGGGAGGCTCTTTAAGCCTCCCACTGTCATACTCAATACTTCATAGTCAGGCCTTTGTTTAGACAAATGGCAACCATAGGTGCATGTCCTCTGTGAACTAATAACCACATTGAAGGTAATGGGAGGACCATGCAAGAGATCGGAACGTGATCCAGGTTGTAAGTAGAGAAGAGGACATGGTAGCTGATGGATATTCAGTGAGGACAGGGTAGACTGGTTAAAGGCTGTGACCTGCAGGTATGTCAGAGAAGCATAAGAGAGAGGACCCTAGCACAGTTCTGCACACTTTTCCTTTATGCCTTTTCCAGCTTTCATAGACCTATCCATGAACATGAAAAAAACTTAGGTAGAAATGTGGCTCTTTGGTCATTCAAATGAACGTAGTGACAATTTGAATACTTGGATTAGGAGCCTCAGTGTCACTTCTGCCAGTGCCCCCTCACCTCATCCAGTGCATTGAGGATGGGGGTGAGGGTCATAAGTTCTTTGCAAGAGAAGAAAGGACAAAGTGAGAACTTTGGTGGCCCTTGGTGTGGTCTCTTCCTTGGACTCCCACTCTTCTCCCCTGTTCCCTCCGTGCCTGTGTAAACATCTACCAAAATTATTTCCATCTGTGGACTTGACATCTGTGTTTGGCACTGTAGGAGAGGAGCAGTACCAACAACAACAAAGGACAAAAACCTTGCACAAGGACCCAGTCAACATTTCTTTACGAAGAGTGTGTCAGAGTAATTTCAAGATTTTTTTAATGCCCATACAAGATAATTCCCATGTGCCCCATCTTGATTGTTTCTTGCCTACCTTGGTCTGATGGCCAGCTTAGGAAGGATATGAATGAGCAGAGCTGCTCTTCAGAAGATGGATCTCCCACGAGGCTGAGATCCTTGCCCTTGGGACTTGTGTCTTAGAGAAAATCAGAGCAAAGGAAAGGGGGAAAATTCTGTTCCTGATTAATATTTTTGGTAGTGATAGACTTTTTTGGTCCTTCAGTTAAGACTTAACATTTTAAAAGGTTAATGCAGGGAAAATAGCCTTGGTTTCTGAGTTAATATTTACTTCTTTATTTCTCTTATGTTGGTGGGTGTTTTTCAACTTCAGAGAAGGCTGTAAGGGACAAAGTTTCAAACATTTATGAAAAAAAGCTAGAGCTGAAAGTCTTTCTTGACATTGGGTGGTTGGGTGCTTGAGTTGAGCTGACCTCCCCTAGAGTTGGTCAGTAAAAGCAAGCGTCAGGTAGTGTTCCTGGTGAGTTAATTCAGTGCATTTAATGTGCATGATAGCCATGCAGTATCACAGTCACCATTTCATGACATTTTAATTGGCTTTGTGTTTTGATTTGAACTTTCAGAGAGTTTCTTGGGCAGGGGTGGATGAAGCTGGATAAAAATGAAAGAACACCTTATGTTATGAAAACCAGCCAACACTTTAACGATGTGAGTAACCATGAACATAAAACCTTGAGCATATTACAGGAACATGAGTTTTGGGCCTTCAAACTTTTTCCTCTAAAATAAAGCAACTCTGGAGCTGGGTTTGTGGCTCTGTGGTGGCATGCTTATCCCATCTTCACACGGCGCTGGGTTTGATCCCCAGCACCACAATAAATAAATAAGCAAACAAGTAAATAAATAAAGTCTGCCACCCACTTTTTAACATAATTGATGGTATATAAAGATGAGCTTAAATCTAACAGCTCATGGTTATATGATAATTTTGACTAATTTCCTTACATAAAGATTCCATTTGCCCCATTTTTAAATTAATGTATATTAACTGTACAAAGGAGTTCTATTGTGATATTTCCATATATGCATATAGTGTACTTTGATCAAGTACATGCCCTATATTGCTCTTTCTTATCTCCCCTCACCCCTTTAAACAATTTTAACAGGTTTCATTATTCTATTTTCATATATGTGCATGAAGTACTTTGATTATATTGACCCCCCACCTTCGTCTTCTTTCATAGTCTCCATCATTCTGGTTCACCCTCAAGCAGTCACCTCATTTTGATGTTCCCCAAGTCTACTAAGTGCTCAATAATGTATAGATTGCTGTTAATATTTTGGTTATAAACATTATTATTCCATTGTCATTAATTGACTAACAGAATGAGATGTGCCTGTGTCACTGGTCCTTGGAGATGGTGGTGGCAAGGAACCTGGAGTGGTACAACTTATGACTCCATATTCTGCCCAAATTGCATTCCAGCATTGGAAGGGACCTCTTAGAGCACAGTCACATTGTTACTGTGTCTCTGTGCAGTGGTGACCAGCTGCCAATCCTCCCAGCTCTGCTTTCTCCAGCAGTAAGACTAGAAGTTGCTTTTACCCGCCAATTATTGGTTGGTTCTGTTCTAATAGTTCTAGTTCTTGCAGGAGAGTAAGTGAAGCTATGGAAATGTTTTCAAGCCTATCCAGGCACAGGGAAGTCTCCTTTTCCGGGACCAGTGAACTACAGTACAAGGAATAATGATGGCATTTGAAGCACAAAGGTTCTGGGCTTGGAGGTGTAGTTCAGGTGGTAGTGTGCTGCCTACCAAGTGTGGGGCCGAATTCAAACACCATACTGCAAAGAAACCAACCAACCAAATAACAAAAAAGGGATCCCATGACTCAAAGTCAAAATACAAAGACAGTAGTGTAGATTCTCCAGACAGCGCTCTTCCCAGGGTGTCCTCAAAGTGCACACTTGAGAGTAAGTACTATCACATCATGGCTACTGAAGGACACAGTGCAGGACCCATTGGGGCCACTCTCTGAGCAGCAGAGCCCTGGTGTGGAAAATAAATCTCTATTACATGGGCTGGACCTGCACTCAGGATATAATGAGCACTTGGATCAGAGCTCCAATCTCAGGCTCCATACCTGTCTGACTCCTCCACCTGGATGGCCACTGCCCTGTACTCTCAGCCAGGTACAGATGGACCCAATCATCAAGAAAGGAGAGATTTGAAATTCAGGTGGTTGGGGGAGAAGGTGATTTTGTTCATCAGTAACTTTGGTGAAGAAGCTGTTGTCAATAATTATTGAGGAAATGGGATAGAACATTGTCTTAGGTGCTGAGAACAGAAAGACAAAGAAATCAGTGAACCTGACTGTTACAGTTCACCCCGCTCTTTAAGTATGAACAGGTGCTAGTGAACAGCCCGGGAGATGGTGCTTTAATGAAAGCCCACAGTGATAACTCTGAGGCAGTGTGAGAGCTTATGAATCATCAGAATCATCAAGGAGTGGAAATTCCCATCAGCTTTAGTATGTGAATACGGGGTCACATGCTTTGGGCTCCCTTTATTAATAATACTATTCCACCCTTTTTCCTTTCCATATTGTGAGAGTTGAGCTCCTTCATCTGGCTTTAACTAGTAGATTTCAGTACTTAGCTGTGAGGATATAGATCTTTCCAATGGCTGTTGAAAAGTTAGAAACAGGAGAAGGTCTCTCATCCTTTGCAGCTCTGTTTCTGGCTTGAAAATTGACCAGTTTAGAATTTGGTTTCGTGGAAGAGGGAGAAGAGGAATGTTTTTTCTTTCTCTATGATAACCAGGGCTTCCTAGAGTATCTACACAGTGTTAGGAGTCTGTTTCCCCAAGGAGTGACACCATGATCTGCAAATGTTGCCTTTCCTGCAGAGTTAGGATGTTCTGTTCCATTTTCTTTATTGGCAGTAGCTCCTGCATCAAAATTATTGATTAACAAAATCATCTTTCCCCCCAATAAACTGGATTCCAAAGAATCCCTCTCTTTCCTCTAAGTGTTTAGTAATTTCTTGTTATTATTACAGACTTCAGTCTCTTTTTTTCCCAAGTTGGCATCTAAATATGGACTATGATCTCTATACTACCTAAAACACCTCACTTTTCTGATATGTCTACAGACAATTCAGGTATTTTGCGTGAATGTACTGCCTTGGCTCTTAGGCCACCTTCTCAGTCTTTTTCATTGTCTCAGATGAGTAACCTGGTGGCCTCCCAGATAATGAATTACGCGGATGTCAGCTCCCGTGCCAACGCCATTGAGAAGTGGGTGGCAGTGGCAGACATTTGCCGATGTCTGCATAACTACAACGGTGTGCTAGAGATCACCTCGGCCTTAAACAGAAGTGCCATCTACAGGCTGAAGAAAACGTGGGCCAAGGTGTCCAAGCAGGTGAGCATCCCAGCGACACACCCTGCTGCTAAGGGGAGGAGAGGCTAGGAGATGAGAGCCAAGATAAATATTCTAATTAGGAAATCATTAGCTGAAATGAGCAGCACAGTTGCCAAAGGAAGGCACCAACATGGGTAATTACTGTGCTCTTACCACTTAATTAATTCCACTCATGTACATTTCCAAAACACTTGTTAAAATATTCGGGGGGACAACCTCAAACAGTGTGGCTGTCAGTCAAGAGTTTTTTCCTGAATTATTTTGGAAAGCACATTGATTCTAAGTGGGCCCAGTGATGACTGATAGGTCCATTCTTCCTCCCCTGAAGTAAGATTGCAAATGTGTTAAGGCCAGAAGACTTCTGTGTTGACCTTTTTCTTTGTTGTTCATGTAGCCAATTAAAAGTTTTAGCATGAAGACTCAGATGTACAGAAATACAGCTTTCTTAATTTTCTTTCATTGGATTCAGTTTGTCCTCTGCCTGTTCTTTTCATTCAGATAAGATTCAATCCAAGTCACAATTCTTCCCTTATCATTTCTAGCCTTGTCTTTGGGTGGGTGTTGGAGAGGGTTTCTCTGGGCTTCTGGAAGGCAGTCTGACACTGGCCTGTACTGCAGCCTTTTGCTGATTTGTGTAGGCCAGTCTGAATTGCCTGGACCTGGTGTATGCTGGTGGTTTTCCCACCCTGGCCAGGAGTGCTGCTTGGTGATTGTTCCTAAGAAGCTGGCCTAACCTGGCCTCTCTTCTATTCCCATTGGTTCTGTGGGTGCTCTGACATGCCTATTAAAGTTGAAGAGGGACCCATCTCAAGGTATCCAGACCAGAAGAACATAAATGTATTCTGCAGACATTTCCTCAGGACTACCTGGTTTTATTATCCACTCTGAGGTTTTAAGCCCCTCTCAGGGACACTCATTACTTCTTAATCATCTCTTCTCATTTCTCTCTGCATGCCTTTCCCTCTAGTGTGGGAGATGCTTTAACTTCTCCATGCCCCCCCCAGGAGGCATGTCTCCATTAGAGGTTTCAACCCACTCCCCCTAATTCCTTAGAGAAAATGCAGTGCTCTCAGAACCCAAGTGTGGCCTGTTAGAATTCACAAGTCCTCTAATTGTCACCAAATCCTGGGCCTTGCAAATGTGCAGTTTTTACAAACACTATTGTTTTTTAAATAAAACCTTTTATTTTGAGATGAGTATCGATTCACAAGCAGTTGTAAGAAATAATAGACATTCCTACACATTACACTCACTTTACTCCAGCAGCAACATCTTGCATAAGTATAGGTAATACTACAATTGCTATAATCTACCAGTCTTATTCATATTTCATCAGCTTTTCAAGTTTGTGTGTGTGCATGTGTGTTGAGTTCTATGCAGTTTTATTACATAGGAACGTTAGTGTAACCATCACCACAGTCAAGATATAAGACATTTCTGTCCTGCCATACTTTTATATCCCAGCCACCTTCTTCCCTCCTCCCTTCTCTAACTCCTAGCAATAACAAATCTGTTCTCCACCTCTAAATTTTATCATTTCAAGAGTGGTACATATAGTATGTGACATTTTTAAAATTGCCATTAAAAAATAAAAGTTCAGCATAATTCTCTTGAGCTCCATTCAGGTTGGCATATGTGTTAATTCCTTTTTATTTCTGAGTAATATTCCATGGGAAGAAGATACCATACTTTGCTTCACCATTCACTCCTTAAAAGACATTTGGTTTCTAGTTGGGGGCTATTTTTAATTAAGCTGCTATGAACATTCATGAAAATGTTTTTTGTGAACATCAGTCTTCATTTCTCTGGGATAAGTGTCGAACAGTGCTATTGCTGGGTCATATGCCACTGTTTTATCTTTCTAAGAACTGTCAAACTCTTTTCCAGAATGGCCATCCCATAATTACATTCCTACCAGAAACATGTGAGTGATCCAGGTTCTCTACGTTATTGTCAGCATTTGGTATCATCACTTTTTAGCTTCACTGCTCTAATAGCTCACTGAGGGCTAATGGAGCTAAACATCTTTTCATGGGCTTAATTTGCATCTGTATATCTTCTTCAGTGATGTGCCTGCTCATGTCTTTGACTCATTGTTAATTGAGATCATCTGGGACTTTTACTGCTCAGTTTTGAGAATTGTTTATATATTCCCTCCACTTTTTCTTCTTCTTCAAAATTGTTTTATCTTCATTAGGTGCTGTGAGTTTTCATACAAACTTTAGAATGAACCTGTCTATATCTTAAAAAAAACAAAAACTAACCAAGATTTTAATTACCACTTCATTAAACCATTGGATATGCTTACTATATTGAGTCTTCTTGTCCATAAACACAGTATGTTCCTCCATTTATTTGTTTTCTTTGATGCTTTGCCATCAGCATTTTGCAATTTTCAGCATAAAACTCCTATATATGCTTTGTTATGTTTTTGCCTCAGTATGTAATTTTCTTTGGAGAAAAGTTATCATGGTTTAATTTAGTTTCCACATGTTCATTATTAGCATATATAAATGTGATTGATTTTTCAATATTGATCTTGTATCTATAACCTTGCTGACTTCTCTTATTAGTTCTAGGAGCTTTTTTGCAAGTTTCTTAGCATTTTCTATATAAACATTTATAAATAGGAACAGTCATTGCTTTCCTTACAATTTAGATGTCTTTTATTTCCTTTTCTTGCCTTATTGCTGTGGCTAGAACTACTAACACTGTGTTGAATAAGAGTGGCAAGAAAGGATGTTCTTACCATGTTCTCAATCTTGGGGAGAAAGCATTTCATCTTTCACCATAAAAGCTGGTAGTAGGGTTTTCTTGTAAGTTTTTTTATAAGGTTGAGAAAATTGTCCTCTTTTTCTAGTGTTTTGAGAAGTTTTTGTTTTTTTTTAATGAGTGGGTAGCCAAATATTATTTTTTAAAATGGGCTTTAAATGTCTATAGTAGAACCCCAAATCTGGACACTGACCCCTTTGTGGTGGCTACATTTTGCCTCCCCCTAAGGCAGCAGTGCCTCGGTCATTGGGCACTGACTGTGAAGAGCATATTATCCTGTCACACACAGCAATGGTACATCAGGGTCAGTAAGCATTCCTCTACCTTCTTTTTGCTTTTCCTTTCCTGTTTCTTTTTTCCTCTGAAGCTGGCATCCCTAAATCTCTTTAACAACACATCTAGGCCTTCTGTATAGCTGACTTAAGTGATATTCTTGACTTTGAGAGGATGCAGGCTTATGGATAATTATGGAATAGGGATGATAATTAAATGTTAAAAATATTATTTCAAATTTTAATAAAACATCTTTAGATGCACACCACATATACGAGTCACTCACTCATAGCTTTCACATAGGCTGATGATAGGCTGTCCTTCAAAGAGGCTGTGTCCATGGCCAAGCACCTCACTCCAGCCATGGCAGTAGGGCCTGGTCGTAGACATGTCTGCTTCAGACAACTTTGGTAACACCATCTGTTGTGCAGCTGTCCTTTCATATGTGAGGTCAGTCTGGAAGATTTCCAGAAGGCCTGGTAGAATCTGTACTCTGAAGCCCTATAGGTTTGGTCTGTGGCTATGGGGAAACTACTTCTGCAGCTTCTTTGAGATGACACCAGCTCTGGACCAGGACAGAGATCTTCAGAAACTCAGATAGGAAAGGCAGCTCTTTGAATTGTTCTGAAAGCTGTTAGGAAGCTGTAACTTCTCTCCAGCCTGAGACAGGGTAGTATGAGCTTCAACATGGACATGCCAAGTCCTTCTCCCAGTTGGCCCTGGAGCATCTATCAGGGCCCAGCAAAGCTGCTTGGGTATGGGAACCACCAGGAACAGGTCCTCATCCCAAAAGGCCACACTGCCTTTCCCCTATGTCAATAGAAGAAACTCTAGACCAATGTTATTTCTTAATAAATATCACTTAAACTTAAAAAATTGAAGACGATAATTGCAAAAAGAAGAATTTAGAGTAGAAGATACTGTTTAGTCAATAGCAAAGCAACCAAATAATGTGGCTTTGGTTGCTTTGATGGTAAAGATTAACATTAAAATATTTATTGTGGGCTGGGGATCTGGCTTGGTGGTACAAAGCTTACCTAGCATGTACATAGTCCTGGGTTGAATCCTCACAGAAAGTGCTTTTCAGTTCTTTAGGTTCCTAAGCTTTGTGCATTTCAGTTTTTCCTCTCTTTATGGCTAAATGCGTGGATGCAGGCAATTCCTCCTCTCCACATGTGCTTCCTTAAAAAAAAAATTGACTATAAACACAAGGCCCTGCCTCAGCACTGTGGGAATTGTGCCACACAATGGACTTTACTCTGGTGAAGGGATCAGCATGCATCACTGGAGAAGAGAACTGAGCATCTTTCTGCAACTCCCTGGCTAATCAAACCATGGTGATCTCATGGCATACTAAGTTTTTTCTTCCCTCCTTAGACAAAAGCTCTGATGGACAAACTTCAGAAAACTGTTTCATCTGAAGGAAGATTTAAAAACCTCAGAGAGACCCTTAAAAAGTATGTATATCTTAATTATTAAATTATTCATAATTCAGGGATATGCTTATATAATTTATATAGTGTATGATGGTGACTTACTTCCTTTATTGCTGAAAAAAACGAGAAACAATTCCCATCACCTCAGTGTTTTCAGATTTTCCTTTTCACTTAGAATATGTGCACATGGTGTCTTGTGGATGTGCTCATAGTATACAGAGTATTCCAAATAAGAAAAATATATCACCCTAAGTCAAGTCATGTTTTAGTGTAAAATTTTCTTGATTTGGTGTTTCATTATCAAGGCACAATGCTTTCCTGTGATTTTTTAAAATTTAAATATCCCAGCACCTTTTGAATATTGTTATTTGTTTGGAGCCTTCTTATTTCTGAATCATTCCTTCTACACACATGCACACGTGCACACACACACACACACACACACACACACACAAGCACGCATGCAGCATAGACTCTGTTCTCTTGCAACTGGTTTTCTCATAATTCATTATCTATGTGCTAGTTACTTTTCTGATTTCTAAGAGAAAATTCCTGACAGAAACAACTTAAAAGGAGGAAGGATTTGTTTTGGCTCCTGGTTTTGGTGGGTTCAGTGTGGTTGGCTGGCTCCATGCTCTTGGGCAGAGCATCATGGCAGCAGGAGAAGTGGAGGAGGATGTTGTTTGTTGTTGTCCCCTCAGCACAGACAAGGACCAAGAACCAGTATAACCTTCAAAGGCACACCCCCAGCAACCTACTTCCTCCAGTCACACCTCCTCAACTTTCCAGAACCTCCCAAAAGAGCTGGGGGATAAGCATTCATCAAATAAGCCTGTTGGGGACATTTGTATTCCAACCATAACAACCTTCCACATGAACTTGACTTACACTAGGAAAACATTAGTGTTGTGATGGTAGGAGTGAAAGATTAATAATAATAATCACAATAGCATAGAACTACTCACTGAACAATTTACTAAATGGCAGACTCCATGCAATGGACCCATTTTACAAATGAGGAAACTGTAGTCCAGAGAGTTTGCCCAGTGTCTCGGAGTAATTGGTCAGTGTGAATTCAAACCCATGTTCCTAGCTTCAGGCCTCTCTGAGAAGTCTTAAGTATACCCGCCGCTCCCCTCCAAAACAAAATAAATGTCTCCCTTTAGTGTGCTCTTGTGATGTTAACTGAGTCTGGACTTTTAAAAACATTTCAGTACTAACTAAAACAGAAAACAGGTCGACCACAGTGAAAAGCTGTAACCAGGTTGATTTTTCTACCTAGATCTTCAAGGCTGAATGTTTTAGAGAGACAAGGGCATAGGGATTTTTCTATATATTTGTATTCTAAGAAGTATGGGCAATTTACAAGTACTGCAAACAATTCCTGCTAGCAAATGTTTTGTATTTGTCTCTATGACTTCCTGTTTTGGAATACGCCATTGTCTCAAACATAAGGTGAGGCATTAGCCCCTAATTTTGTGTTGTATCCCATTGTGAAATGTTTGAAGTTCCAAATGCCATGAGCATGCTTCCGAAAGTGAAATGAAATGTCTTCGTTCTTCCGGGTTAAAGCAGCATTGTTGCTTTCTGCTTAATTGGGAGGGAAATAGACATTTGTGTGAATGAGTATGACAAAAATGCTTCTTGGTTTTGCAGTTGCAACCCCCCAGCAGTTCCTTATCTTGGAATGTACTTGACAGACCTCGCATTTATTGAAGAAGGAACACCAAACTTCACAGAAGAAGGCCTTGTCAATTTTTCCAAAATGAGAATGGTAGGTTATAATTTCATAATTGGCCTGTGTCAATAACTATGAATTATAAGGAAGAGGTAATGAAGTCATTGCTTACTTCTTAAATTCAAGGTGGAAGAAATGGTGGAGGCAGTCTAATACCTGCTGTTGACTGACGGAGGAGATTTTTGGCAGTCATTTTCTCTTGCACTCTGGACCAAGGAGATAGGGACTAAAATTCTTAGGGATGTCTTTTTAAGATTGACCCATGGACAGATCCTGAAGACTTCTTGCTGGATAGCCAGGTTCCAAGCACCATGATAGAAACAAAAGTCCATGGACAATAGCCACAGAACTTTCCTCTCCCAAACCTGGAACCACCTCAGCACCAGCTGTTTCCCTGATTATGAATTCAGTATCTTCTTGCTATTGGCATTTAACAGGTTCTTTGAAGAGCAAGAAAACACTAGGCATAGAACATGATTGGGCAGAGTTTCCCCAGCCACACTGGAGGAATGGACTCAGAGAAGAGGCTCCAGAAAAATGTGCTGCAATACAGGGAAATACTTTTTGTTGTTGTTTTTATTATTGTTTTTCTCTCTGTTAGATATCACATATCATCCGAGAGATACGCCAGTTCCAGCAGACTTCCTACCGAATAGACCATCAACCAAAGGTAATATTATGTGGTTATGAGGGAATTCATAGAAAGAAAAAAATGTAAACTAAAAATGTAAACAAAACAATAGGGTTGGTCCTGAGCTGACTCATGGTAAGAGCCAACAAAACAGAAAATCTTTAGCAAGTTTGACCAAGAAATAAAGAAGGAAGGCATAAAGAATACCAGTTCATCATCAATCAAGTTTTATTGATTTTACATCTGATATTTCTTATGAATCTGCCTCAATACCACTACCAGTCCAGTCTAAGCATTCCAGAATGCAAACTCCATTCTATGCAGAGTTGATTATGCTCCCCACTCCTTGTATAAAATATTTTATTGATTTCTTGTTGCTCTTAGGATAAAGTAAGAAAAGAAAAAATTTAACATAACCAAGAAGTATTGTGTCATGTGGCCACTACTGTTCTTTAACATTCATTTTACAACATACACCCCTTATTCTCTCTATTACAGCCATGACTTGTCTTATTTTTCCCCCTTTTTAAAAATTTTTTAGAATCATAATCATTTTAGCTCGAAAGGAAAATGAAGATCATACTACAGAAATTCCCATATACCTCAATATCAGTTTTCCCTAATGTTTACATCTTAACTGAGTAGAGTGTATTTGTTGGAACTCAAGAGTCAGTGCTGATACATTGCTATTAACTGGTTTATTCAGATTCAATGTTAACTAGTTTAACATAGTTTATTCAGATTCCCCTACTCTTTACTTAATCTCATTTCTGTGTTCTAGGATTCTTTTCAGGACCTCACAATCCATTCAGGTGCCAGGATCCTGTGCGTCTTGGCTGTGGCAGTTTCTTAGACTTCCCTTATTTTTCATGACCATGATAATTTTAAGGAGTACTGATAAGGGTTTTTGTTCTTGTCTTTGTTTTCTTGTGGTGCTGGGGATCCTATGTACATGTTAGAAAAGCACTGTAACCCTGCGCTACACCCCCAGCCCTGGTCAGGTACTTGGTAGAATGGCTCACTGTTGAAATCTGTCTAATGATTTAGTCATGTTACAGTGAGATTATGGCATATTGGGAAGAAGATCACACATGTAAAGTGCCATTTCATCACATCAAACCCGTGGTACATATTGGTGACATAGTTTATAGACAGTTGATGACCTTAATCACCTGGCTGAGACCACTTTTTCTTTCCTTCATATATTATACTGTTTGGAAGGAGCCCACACCCAAGGAGTAGAGAACTGCCCCTCACCCCCACAAGCAAATTAATTCCTGTGCATGAGAGGTTGTTTCTTCTCCCCCATTTATAGTTTATTCAATCATTTCTTTATATCAGTGTAGAATAATAGACTTTATATTTTGGGTGGTAGTCCAATAATACTTTACTTCTTTTGCTGCTGAAATTGTTCCACACCTACCCACTGGGTGCCTGTCATTTACTCCTTGGACACCTCATCAGTTTGGGGGCCTCTCTTTTCCTTTTTCCTTTCCTTCCTTTCCCGTCCCTTTCTTATTCTCTTCCCTTTCCTTAATACTTTCTTTCCCTTTCCTCTTCCTGATTTTCAGAAAGTATAACATGCTTCAGACTCATCTTGTACATTTCTGACCTCAATCCTAGAATCATATATATCACCCCACAACTCTAATTCCTGTTTTTTGAGAATGGTATTAGAAACTAAGTTACAGACTCTAGGTGTACTCATGTCTTGTTATTTCTTTTTAGCTGGCAGAGACCAGAAATATATATGCACATATAAGTATTTCTGTATGTAACCAAATGGGTTTTGTTTTTTCTATTTTGCAGTACTGAGGCGTCAACTCAGGGCCACACACTTGCTAGACAGGCACTCTACAACTTGAGCCATGCCCCCAGCCCTTTTTGTCTTTCATTATTTTTCAGATAGGGTCTTGCATTTTTTCCTGGGGCCAGCCTCAGATTGCAATCTTCCTACCTATGCCTCCTGTGTAGATGGGATCATAAGCATGCCTGGCTTATTGGTTGAGATGGGGGTCTTACTAACTTTTTGCTTGGGCTGGCTTTGAACTGTAGTCCTCCTGATTCCTGCCTCCTAAGTACCTGTGACATGAGCAGTTAACCAAATGTATTTGCATTAAGCTAAACAGAAGTTCACACTGAGCTTTCCTACTCAATATATTCTATTACCATGTGAATCATTGTAGCCTCACCCCACATTAGCTTATCTGTAAATTTCCACTCCAACAGTGAGGGACACGCTGTTCTTTAATACACCCAGCATTGCCCTGTATCTGTTTGTACAAGGTCTTCCATGTGTTTTCCCTCTATCTGGAGGTCTTTCTTTCCATACTGCCGAGTTAACTTGCCCACAACTTAAATATCACTTTCTGGGGGAGGGGACACCTTCCCAAACTTTCCCGACCCCATACCACCCTTTCAAACTTTTGTTGTACTGTGTTCTTCTCCTTTCTAGCACTTACTGCTAGACTTACAATTTTGCGCTTATCTGTGTGATTGTGTATGTGTGTACAACATCCATGATAGCTGGGGCTATATCTGTTGTGTTTATTGTCATAGACCCAGTGTCTTATGCAGTGCCTGGGTCATAGCAGATCATAAATGTTTGCTGAATTAATTAATCCAAGTAAGGAAGAAAGAAGGCTATCACTATCACTGCTACTATTAATTTTTGAGTTGGAAAAATAGCCAGGATGATGAAGCAATAAGAAGTGAAAGTTATAAAAAAGTGAAAGTTATAAAAATTTGAGGTAAGATGAAATGCTATAATTCACAGATGATTTGACCAACTACCTACAAACCCCAAGAGAAAAACTGGTAAACTACTAAGGAACATAGCAACTTAACATAAAAACTAACCATTTTCAACACATTGGTAATGCCAATTGAAATAGAATAGCAACCAAGTTTATAATTCCTACAGTTAGAAGAACAAAAAGTTTCATATTCATAAATCAGAAAACTTTATATTATAAAGACATCAATTATCCTCAAATTAATCTGTAAATTCATTGAAATTATAATCAAAATTCCAACAGGGTTTCATGCAACTTGACAAACTTATCCTGAAACTCATAAGGAAACTTAGGCAAAAAACAGACAAGAACTTTTTGAAACTTAGGCAAAAAACAGACAAGAACTTTTTGAAAAATAAGAATAGTAAATGAGAACCTTCCCTACCAAATATCCTAAAGCTAGAGAAATTAAAACAGTAATTACTGGCACAAGAATCCAAATTCAGTGGAGTAGAATGAAGTGCAGATACAGATTTTGTTTATGTAAAAGTCTAACCTGGGCTAAAGTAGGAACCCATGGAAAGTGCCAGGAAAAAACTGACTCTTTGGTAAGTGGAGTAAAGATTTGGCTCTCCATCTTACACTATTCACATAAGTGAATTCCAGAGAGGCTGATTATCTAAATATAAATAGAAATATTTATACTATTTGAATAAAATATAAAACAAAATATTCATGATCTTTGGATTTGAGAGACCTTAAGAACTGAATACAAAAGCTGTCAAAGGGACTGAAGGTTTGGCTCAAGTGGCAAAGCACTTGCTTTGCAAACTTGAAGCCCTGAGTTCAAATTCCAGTCCCACCAAAAAACAAAAAAAAAGAACCCAAAAGCTGTAAAAGACAAGCTTAATAAAGTTTGCTACATGAAAATTAAAAACTTCTGTGACAATGGGTAATTATTTTAAATGTCAAAATACAAGCAGTAGATTAGGAAACAATATTTCCAACATACAAAACAAAGAGACAGTGACAGTCTTATACATCTGAAAGAAAGGCATAAGGAAGAAAATTGGCAACTCTATGAAGTTAATTTATAGAAGAAACAAAATCACCAGTAGATTTTTGAAAAATGGTCAAATTCACTAGTGAAAAGAAAAAAATGCTAATTATAATGAGATATCATTTTCACCTGCCAGATTAATAAGAATGCAAGATTGACAATATCAAACATTTACTGGAGATATCAAGAAACCAGTACTTTTGTGTGCTGCAGAATCACCAGCTTTGGAAGTCATTTCACATCATCTTTTTTTTTAAGTGGGGGAGGCAGTACTGGGGCTTGAACTCAGGGCCTCACAATTGCTAGGCAGTTCTCCACCACTTGAGCCACTCTGCCAGCTCTTTTTTGAGTTGGGTATTTTTGAGATAGAGACTCCTGTTTTCCCTGGCTGGTCTTGAACTATGATCCTCCTGATCTCTGCCTCCTGAGTAGTTAGGATTACAGGCATGAACCACCAGTGCCTGGCTCATGTCATCTTTTTAAATTAAAAGTTGTATACCAAGCAACTGGAACCCATCCATACACCGATATAGTAAAATGGCTGGTATAATCACTTTGGAATACTGGCATTTGGAGGTTTCTTAAAAATATCAAGTTTCCATCTATCTTATGACAGCAATTTCTCTCCAAGTGAGAAATGAAAATAGTCTATTAAAAACCTTGTATAAAAGGTTGGTTAATAATAACCAACAACTGGAAACAGCTCAAGTGTCAATCAGCAGATGAATGGAGAGAATTGGGATATATCGCCACAATGAGACACCACTCAGCAATGAGAGTACAAACTGGTGTATGCCCCAGTGTGGCTGAATTTCAAAAACACTTATCCTCGGTGAAAGAAATCACAGAGGAAGGAGTACACACCATATGATTACATTTTTATGAAGTTGTAGAGTAGACAAAATTACTATGGGTAATGGAGATCAAAGAACAGATGCTTCTGGGAGCAAATGAATGATGAAGTACACAAGGGAACTTTCAGGATGATGGAATTTTTCCATATCATCGTATGTGCATCAGGCACATGGCTATGTACATTTGTCAACACTGACCAAACTAATCAGCTCACTTACGTATGTCATATTTCAATCAAAATTAGGAGATATTTTCATGCAAATACCCTATGCTCCAACATCTTCACTTTTAGTGTTATTTCCTTTCATTTCATTTCTGGTGTCTACCCAGCAAAACACTGCACACATGAGCAAGGATTTAACTGGGCAATAGGGAAGTGTTGTCAGCAATTCAGCATCTGCCAATGCGAGATCATTAAAGAAACTGATTTATTGCACTATGGCTACTGTACAGCAGTTAGAACTCTGTGTACTAATTAAGGAGTTCTCCAGAACTTGCAGTTAGGAGAGAAAGGGGACTACAACGGACAGTATGATATCATTTATGACTCAAAGGGAAAAATAATTACTGTGTGTACATGTAATGTGTCTGAAGACACAGTGACATACCTGGAAGAATACACACCAAATGATAACAACTGATATCTGGAATTCAGGGTTGGAGAGGACCAGAGATTTTAGATTTTTTTTTCACAATGAGAATATATTCATGATTTTTTTAGTTATATAAAATTTTTAATTGTTTAAGAGAAAATGTTGAATTGTGCCAGACTCCACTCAGAAAAAGTACATACTGGTATTCTCAAAGAAGTACAAAGTGGGATTTCTCCTTTTATTTTCTTTTCAGGTCACACAGTACTTGCTTGACAAAACCCTCATCATAGATGAAGACACCCTCTATGAACTGTCATTAAAAATTGAACCTCGACTTCCTGCTTGAAGATCTGGCCTTGTCCTCCAGACCACAGCATTCCCATGGAAAGCAGGACAGATGGACTTGTGCATGTCATATCTAATGTGGCACCCAGGGGACTGGGAAGAGACAAAATTGGTCTCCTTTCTCCACCAAAGATGGAGCTGAACTGCAATTCTGTCTCCAGCTAGAATGAAACCCATCTGTGTGGGTCAGAGACAGATGTTTCAGTCTGGTGTAAAGGTCAATGCTTGGAAAAGTTGGTGGTACACGTGACATAAGGGAATGTAAGATGGGAGATGTTAGTAGCCATTGTAATGAAGCAGGTATGAAGGTGAATTTTCCTCTGTCCCATGTTCTGTTAGAACTTGGGAACAAGGACCCATAGAAAAGACCTGTGATGTTTCTCTGTTACTTTACTGGCCTGGGCACATCTGCCAATCTTCTAGGATTAAATTGCTTCCATTATGCTTCCTCTTATCACAGGCTTCACAGAAAAGCCGAAGCTTCCTCTCTAGGGCCAACACATAACAAGTTCAGTCTACAGCATGTGCATGGTTCTTAGTGCATTATAAACATTCGTGTTTGAGGAATGGTATATTCTGAAACTGCCTTTCCAGTCTTTAGGCAAAGGAAAGAAATGATGAAAGACAAGTGGGTTTCTGGTAATATTTCCTCAATTCAAAACAATATGCTGTGTCTTCGGGGTGGGGTGGGGACTTCTTTATGAGACTGGTGTTCCCAAGAAGCCACCCCCTTAGAGAGGCAGCTGCAGAGTTAGCAGAAAGGGGCATGCCACTTCACCGACAAAACTGTGGAACAAGACAGAAGGCCACAAAGCACTGTAGGGAATAATGGGTTGCATTGCTAAGTGAAAATATATACCTAACAATCATCCTTGCACCTTGTTTTTCTTGTTTTCTTTTATCCTTTAGAACTATAGGAATCTTTTCTGATTGACATAAATCTTTTGGGGGAGCTCAGTATGAACATTGGTTGTGTTTTTTCAAAGCTGTTTTGTGGGGCTTTCTTCTGAAAACCCCACACTTCCATGTGCTGTTGGTAGATAGTCCTCCCCAGCCATGTTTGCTTAAAAAGAATTTTGAGATTGTCCTGAGTGACAATACTGTAAGTGTATGGGAAATGGGATCAACCATCCAACAGCTCTTTATAGCAGAAAACCAAATGCAGGGGTTGTCCTGCTCCCTGAGGCTGGGGAAGTGACCTCATTTTCCTCAAGGTCACCAGTCATTGAAGAAACAGGGCTATCTTGTTTACCTCCCTCCTCTCTTCTCAGGGAGAATGCTGCTTTAGAAGAAGTAAGAGACAACAGTATAGAGTTATTATTGCACCTGACATTTTCTCTTAGAGGCATGAAGCTTATTGATGCTGACAATGAAAAATTGATCTGTTTTTCCTCTTTCTTTGCACTTTAATTATATGGTATAGCTAACAGGCAGACTAATAAATTCCCCTTGCTGGCTCTTAGTGGAAGAGCCGGCATTGATAGTATACTATAGAACTAGAAAGGGGAACTTTTCTGCACTGTAAGGCATCTCTGTATATAACTACATAATGAAATATCAACTAAATAAAAGAAAATATTTATACTATGTTAAGACCATTGCAAAAATATTTTCAATAGATCATTAGCCATCGTTGTAGCACTAAACCCAAGGAGGGTTCTTATGGATGCTTTCTTTCTTTTTTTAAGTTGCTTGTTTGCGCTCTTCAGTTTCACATAAGAGGCTGACACATCTTGATGCACGATGAGAAGCATGGGATGCTGGATTTTAACAATGTACACCTTGTGATTTTTTTTTTCCTCAGTGTTCAGCAGTGGAGAGTTTGAAATAACATGTCTCAGTTGCACCAAACACCCCAAGGTCTTACAGAAGATAAATAAAGATTAGCTTTCTTGCCTCAGAACTGTAGTCTTTGAAGGTGAATTAAGACCAGGACAAATCCATGAGAGGACCACACACATATGAGTTTCCAGCAAAACACTACATAGAAAGGTGGATGCATTCGACTCTGCCCTGGAGTCCTGTGGTCTTCCAGAGAGGAAGAGATGGCTCAGCATGTACTTTCCTTAGAAGTTTGGCCTCTTATTTCTCTGACCCAAATGTTCCAGAGGCACTATAGCCACTTAGTAAGAAAAATGAGAGACAGAGGAATTTCAAATGCTCCTCCCTTTTTGGAATGCAGCTTTTCCTCAACTAGTGGCAAAGCTTTTGAGCCTAGTTCTTGTAGAATGCTGGAAGCGCCCCCCAGTGGTCAGCTGTGGGCACTGCCAATTGCTGTGCTGACTGGTTCCATGTCCCTCCTGCTTCCTGGAGCTGAAGAAAGAGACCTCCATCTCTGAGGGAGTCCCCTTTGGTTGCCTGCACCATTTGTGGGCCAGGTGAATGCACATTAAGAAAAATTTCAACCTGGTCACATTTAAAATCCTACCAGAGCCATTTGTGGTATATCTTCTGATTGTTAAAGTCCCCATCCTCTTCTTTCAGGCTTTGTGTGAACTGCGGCTCACGCTGTGTGCCGTCCCATCTGTGTCTGCCGGTATTTTCTAGTCTCAGAAACTCACTGCTAAGAGTAGATGGGAGGTCAGCTTCTAACTACCAAGTAGGAAGCATATATACTTCAAAATTAACCCAGAAAATCAGAAGCAAAACCCAATTTCAGGCTTTCAAATGAACACTTAGATTTCTGCTGTCACTGGAATTATCTTGAGGCTTATTAGGAGATGCCTCTGGTTATTAACTAAGACATCCTGCTTTGCTACAGGGACAAATCTGTTACATGAGCCAATATATTATTTGACAGATTCAGGCATGAAGTAGGACATTGTCACTTTTCTTTAGTGTTTCTCTTAAGGAATTTAAAGGGGAATTTTAAACTGCTGTGATGATATTTTGATGTGGCCCTAACACAACATTCCATTGCTGTCTGTTAAATTTCAGTCCATCTTAAAGTACTTCTTACAGACAAATGAGACGCTTGGATACTGGATAACTGGAAAGAGAAAAATCCACTGTGGGCCCATTTGGAGTGTGTGATGATGGAGCTGCCCTTCTTCTTATGTTACCACATGAGACTAGACTTCAGGTGTGGAGTTATTGCACATCTTTTGAATTCTTAATTAGAAAGAGTAATGCAATAAAGGAGTTATCGCTAAAAAAGTTAGCTATGGTTTTCATTGTGATGGTGGTGCTGGAGAATCAAACCTGGGGCCTTGGGTATTCTGTGCAAGTGCTCTACCACTGGCTACATCCCAGCCCCCAATAAAGTTAACTTGCATTGAAAAGAAAGGTTTTCCTTAGCTGTTCTTTTCGAAGTTTGATTTTTTTTTCCCCTGAAAAGTAATTTCTCCTCACATTTTTTTTTGGTGGTACTGGGGCTCTCCTTACATTTTTGTTGTTGTTATCCAACCTGCAAAATTTGTCATTTTTACTACTACTGAAATGCCACAAAAGATAATGTACTATTTATGGCCAAGATATTATTTACAGCCAGAAGGAATTAATGAATGAGATTCATTTTCATTTCAGTAAGAAATAAGATTATAAGTTTTAATAATGACTCGAGTGCTGACACCACTTGTGATTCCTAATAATAAGACTCGAGACAATGAAATCTAATCAGAGTGTCAGCAGCCACTGGTGACTTAAAATTAAGTTAGGATGGAATGACAATCCATCCTACTGGAAAACAATCTCTTTGTTGTAGGTATAAGCACATGAGTGATTCAGAAAATTATTCATCTCATCTGCCACATGGCATGACATTAATGTTAGGGTTTGTTGATGTATTTTGATCAAGGAAAAAAGTAGTTCTACTTAATGTTGCTTTTTAGACAACCCATTTCAATTTTCACTAGAAAGCTGGTTGTGCAAGAGCACTGGACCAGGCATGCCTGCTAGGGGTCTTAGCTCTGATCTCTGTCCACCAACTGGAAAAGTTTAAGGCAGTGTTTATGCCTTTCTGAGCCTCAGTTTCCTCATCTGAAAAATGGGATTAATAGTAATTCCTGTGCCGTCTACCTCACAGGGCTGTCGTGAGGACCAAATGGAGTAGACTGTAAAGTGCTGTCCAAATGTGAGATACCCCAATTACCATCCTCAGCTCTATTTTGCAGAGGAATTAAATGTATTTCTTTTGTTTGTGTGTGTGTGTGTGTGTGAGATGGACAGATGTGTTCATTTGAGCAGCATATTGCTTGTGTTCAGTTACTTTGCAAATCTGCCAACAGCTGTAATTTCGATGGAGGGGTTTGTGCTGTGGCCTAACACTTACCAAGTGAGGTGTTGGTTATGCCTATATGCAAATTAAACTTCACCTTTCTTGATACTCAGAAATCTCATGGTTTCTTCATTTACCTTTTCCCCGATTTTTCTTCATGTCTTTCTTTACAGCAATGTGCTCTTTCAAATGTGCTTTTACTTCTGAAGTTCAGGTGGAAAAACAGCTTAGAAGAAGCAGGGGGAGCGGGACCTTAAAAACATATGCAGGGTCATCTAGTCCCACTCACTTTCCAGTCCTTCTATCTGTCCAGTGACATCCCCAGCCTATGACTGACTACCTCCAGGCAACAAAAACTCAGTTCTGGAACGGCTCAGTTCATCCTGTGGCAGTGCCACACTCCCAAGCAGGCTGTGGAGACAAGAGAAGCTGCAGAGGTGGGTGGTTCCCGGCCCAGTCATTACTAGTCCTGACCTTGACAGGCTCCTGAGCCATCTCAGGCTGTGTCCCCACCTATAAGATAAGATGCATATCTATTCCTAGAATTATCACAGAGGTTACGTAGACTAATATAAATGAAAACCCTTCACCTTTTGTTAAGTAGAGGAAGTTGTCCTGACATTGCAAACTGAAGGAATCAGGATACCGCTGTTGAGCATAAGAGCAAACTGAGGAAAGGGCCCCTTCCTGTCCCCAGAGCTTCCGTTTCCGGTTCTGACATGAGCAACCCAGGCTGGGAACCTGGGGATGCAGGAACAGAGATTCAGTTCATCTTACTAGTTGGCCTCCCCAAAAGCATTGTCCTTGTCTTCATGGTCAAATTTCGGTACTGTTCTGTCCATGCTCCAGCTGGATTCAGGAATGGAAAGAGAAGAAAGCCCAGGACTGATTTCCTTTAAAGCAGGTGACACAGCAGGTGTACACTTCACTTTTGTTCCTGTGCCTATGGCAAAAGCCAGCCTGAGATGGAAAGGAATTGACATCGATGAGAAAGAAAGGGAGGACATGTGACAGGGACAGTGTCTGAGGAGTTTTTGAACATCTGGACTCTCCACTGTGAGCCACTTGCAGAGGTTGCTGACCCCATCCTGGCTGCTTTATAGTAAGCTTGGATGAGCAGTACCCTGTTTTCTTAACAACATCCCAACTCTAACCTGACTAATGTGAAATACACTGCAAAATATAAGCTGAGGAGGTGAGAGGTGTGGATGCAGCCCTAAGTGCTGATTATTAAGGAATTGGAGGGGGATAAAGAAGATAAATATTATTATAACTTTCTGTGTTCTCCCAAAGCTTTATTGTTTTCTGGCTCTGAGAGCCGGGCTCTTTCAGAGTCATTGGACCTGCTTTGAAACAAGTGTGTGAAAGAGCAATTTTGAGAACTGCCTCCCCACCCCATCCCAGCAGCTGAGCCTCAGTGTCCTGAGCAGATCTTCAGCTCCACAGACCTCAGCTCACTGCCTTTGGCACCAGCAGAGGTCACCAGGAGCTGAGGGACAGTGTCCATGGTGACAGACCATGCAAACGGGAACTCGGAATCTTGTGCATCTGGTTGTTCCCCACCCACGATTACTTTAATGAAGTCACATAGAAAACCTAGAAAATACCTGAGTATATCACATGTACAAAGGGCAGGTATCACTTTCCATCCAGTGTGAGCTATGTCACAGTGACAGTATACACATGGGTTAACTAAGGTATAGCCAACACAGAAGTCCTTGAATTCTAAGTGTGTGTCTTCAGGAGTTTTTACATGTGGGTACACCCATAACTTCCCTCAAATCAAGAACATTTCCAGTACCCAGAAAGCCCCCTTGGTTCTCTCCCAATCAGTATCTCACGTCAAGGTAAAAATGTATTTTCCTGTGGGTTATGTTTAAAAGAATTGGAAACTCTGATAGAGAACCACACTAGGTAAAAGGTCATTCCTGGGCTTC